TTTCTTTATGTGAATTCCTGAGCCACCTCTGTGAATCTTCATATGCTGCGAGCAATGGAGTGCGCACATGGATCAAACATGCACACACATATTCTACTGCTGCATGTCGAGACATGGAAAAACAGCAAGCAAATGGCCAAGCGCTTGCGACTAAAACCAAATAACCAAGCCTATTTATCACCTACTCTCGCTCAGCACGCATCACATCTTGACGGTGCAGTATCTGTGGCTCCCGTACCAAGCAACGTTTTCGAAATATGACAGCCACGTCTTCGCAGCGTTAATTTGAGCCGGCAGACCTATGAGGGAATGCTAATTGTGGAATCCTGCTTTGCGGATGTGGAGCTTGTGGCATTCGATAAAAGGAAACAGAAAGAGAAGATAGGGAAAAGGATACATATTTGCCGATGGAAGTCAAGACTCAACAATGATGATCGATCAATGAACGCCATTCATAGCATCGATGGAAAACGTGAATTCAATCCTCATGAAGTGCTGCCAACAGTATCAGGTGATGCAAGTAGGGAACGCAACTAAAGCACAGTGCACGTCGCTCAAGCCCAGTGCGTGGCTTCAAGAAAGCAGATGGGGTCTCAGCAGGTTGGCCTAAACCAAGGGTATGGGTGATTGACGATGAAGATTAGAGCACCTAGCAGCTGGACGACTCCCACTGTATTTAGCGCCTAACGGCGGTCGGTGCTCTACTTCTTCTAGACCGGTAGACCACATGCCCCGGCAGATGGTGCACACCATAGGTGAGCCGATTCATTCGGTAAAATCCAACATCGCACACCTTTCCGAGACAATGTTGGCTGCTCAAATGGACGGTGCGGGCAATGACCAAAATTAAATAAAAATCCCAATCCAAAAAGTCCATTCCATACACCGAAAATTTCAACTCGTCTTAGTTGGTAACAGTTGCCACTGTTGAGGTGTGATGACACCTTTGCATTCGTCAACATCAGAGCCATCAACTAAAATTACTGTGGATGGCAGTTGTGTGCACGCACTCCAGGAGATTGTATTGATTGCTCTTATTCTTATTATGATGACTATGTTTGTTTACCCAAGAAATCCTCACAGAGTCTCAAAACTGTTCAAAAGGGTGCTGTAAAGATATTGCTGGAGGGGTTATGTTGCTATCTATACTCCAAAGCGAGTAATTTGCAGGTAATATTTCAGCACTTTTAAAACAAATGTACAGCGAGGGAAAAAAGTATTTGATCCCCTGCCGATTTTGTACATTTGCCCACTGACAAAGAAATGATAAGTCTAGAATTTTAATGGTAGGTTTATTTGAACAGTGAGAGACAGAACAACAAAAAATCCAGAAAAACGCATGTCAAAAATGTTATAAATTGATTTGCATTTTAATGAGGGAAATAAGTATTTGACCCCTCTGCAAAACATGACTTAGTACTTGGTGGCAAAACCCTTGTTGGCAATCACAGAGGTCAGACGTTTCTTGTAGTTGGCCACTAGGTTTGCACACATCTCAGGAGGGATTTTGTCCCACCCCTCTTTGCAGATCTTCTCCAAGTCATTAAGGTTTCGAGGCTGACGTTTGGCAACTCGAACCTTCAGCTCCCTCCACAGATTTTCTATGGGATTAAGGTCTGGCAACTGGCTAGGCCACTCCAGGACGTTAATGTGCTTCTTCTTGAGCCACTCCTTTGTTGCCTTGGCCGTGTGTTTTGGGTCATTGTCATGCTGGAATACCCATCCACGACCCATTTTCAATGCCCTGGCTGAGGGAAGGAGGTTCTCACCCAAGATTCGACGGTACATGGCCCCGTCCATCGTCCATTTGATGCGGTGAAGTTGTCCCCTTAGCAGAAAAACATCCCCAAAGCATAATGTTTCCACCTCCATGTTTGACGGTGGGGATGGTGTTCTTGGGGTCATAGGCAGCATTCCTCCTCCTCCAAACACGACGAGTTGAGTTGATGCCAAAGAGCTCCATTTTGGTCTCATCTGACCACAACACTTTCACCCAGTTGTCCTCTGAATCATTCAGATGTTCATTGGCAAACTTCAGACGGGCATGTATATGTGCTTTCTTAAGCAGGGGGACCTTGCGGGCGCTGCAGGATTTCAGTCCTTCATGGCGTAGTGTGTTACCAATTGTTTTCTTGGTGACTATGGTCCCAGCTGCCTTGAGATCATTGACAATATCCTCCCGTGTAGTTCTGGGCTGATTCCTCACTGTTCTCATGATCATTGCAACTCCACGAGGTGAGATCTTGCATGGAGCCCCAGGCTGAGGGAGATTGACAGTACTTTAGTGTTTCTTCCATTTGCTAATAATCGCACCAACTGTTGTCTCCTTGTCACCAAGCTGCTTGGCAATGGTCTTGTAGCCCATTCTAGCCTTGTGTAGGTCTACAATCTTGTCCCTGACATCCTTGGAGAGCTCTTTGGTCTTGGCCATGGTGGAGAGTTTGGAATCTGATTGATTGATTGCTTCTGTGGACAGGTGTCTTTTATACAGGTAACAAGTTGAGATTAGGAGCACTCCCTTTAAGAGTGCTCCTAATCTCAGCTCAGCTCGTTACCTGTATAAAAGACACCTGGGAGCCAGAAATCTTTCTGATTGAGAGGGGGTCAAATACTTATTTCCCTCATTAAAATGCAAATCAATTTATAACATTTTTGACATGCGTTTTTCTGGATTTTGTTGTTGTTATTCTGTCTCTCACTGTTCAAATAAACCTACCATTAAAATTATAGACTGATCATTTATTTGTCAGTGGGCAAACGTACAAAATCAGCAGGGGATCAAATACTTTTTTCCCTCACTGTAACTATAGGAGGAAATTTTAGAGCCTGGGAGGAAACCCATGCAGAGCAGGGAGATAGAGAATATACAAAGTCCACTCAAAGTCACCCGAGTCAGGAATCGAACCCAGGGACTTCTTGCAGCGAGGGACGAGCGTTACCACTGCAACACAATGCCCTCCCATGATCAATGCCTCATATACAACCCTTTGTGACTCAAAATCTCATTATAAACAGTGAAAGTACACACACACACCACACACACACACAAACATCACTACCTCCGTAGCAGCCTGACCCTCTGAAATGGAAACGTTGAGGTTACGCTGCGCATCTCTCGTGGGTCACCCTGTAATTTCAGACCCCTCCATTACTGGGCCAGCAGCCACTGGCCCCTAACGACCCCCCAAGAGAGAAAGAGCCATCAGTGGGTATGTGTGCATGTGCCTTGTCGCGTCACCCTACGGGCTCCACCCAGAGCAGGGTTCATTGAATCCTAATTGACGTGCGGGAGGGAGGGGGGCCTGGCCTGATGGCTAATGGCCGCAGAGCAGATGCCCCCCTCCTATGTTACCGCCAATATCAATTTACACGTGCCCCCTTCAAGTGCTCGCTGCGTTAGAAGCCAATGGCAAACAGAGTTAACAAATACTATTACCGTGGATTTGTGATCCTGGATCATACCATGGTCGTTTGTTATGTGCAAAGGACACGACTTCAATTAATCCCTTTCTCTTGATCACCTTTTGTTTTTAAATCACATTTTCTAGCACGTCCCAGATAAACAGGACAACAGCTGTTAATGATGGGAACCTGACGATAATGGTTTGTAACCCTGTGCCGCTAATTATATATGCATAGCAAAAATCCTCCGTATTGCATTGCCTATGTCGATATCACTGTATCCCGTTACGCGTCTGATGACACACCAATTCCGAGCTTCCTTAAGGTTATTAAAACATCCATTGATGTGGAGATGGAGGAAGACAGATGGCTACGGTTGGAGAGAGGAGGAAAGATAGGGATGGGGAATAATAACGGGAAGAAAACGGGTCGGCCCACTTGGAGAAGCATGCAGCACCGAGACAGCATGGCAGAGATTGGCAGCATTGCATTTTAAATTTCCGGCTCCAACTGGGTCACCTCACGCCAAGGGGGCTTTCCCGCTTCGCCTCTTTACAACATTCTGAGGCCTTCAAGTTCGCCGAAACAGAAAGGAAACGAGCTTTATCTGCTCCGCGTACCATTTGGTGTCAAATGAGGTTTCTGAAAATAATTTTGCATGGGAATGTGCTCTAAAAGCAGTTTTTTTTTGTTTATCTTGCATTGCCTTCATAGATCTATATTGTTCATACATATCGATATGTATTCTTTGTGTATGAGTTATTCGCACACAAGCTGGTGGATTTTAAAGCGCTTCAACACTCAGTGGTGCAGTATTTGTTTAAAATTGCTTCATTCACTCCATCTAGCCCTTGCAAATAAAAAATAATAATATGGATTACTTGTATTAAACGTATTGGTTTCAAATTTAGGCGACTTATATATGATAAGCTACTTGTGAGGAAATAGTATGTGCTTTGCACAACGCCTAAAAAAGGACCTCACAAAGCGAGTACACATTTCCAATTCAAAGCCTTAAGTGTGCCTTGCCAGCTCACAAGCCTCAAGCACTGTTCCTGCGACTGTCTCTTCAGTGCTGAATTATTGCATGTCGTTAAGTCATAAGTGGAGCTTGCGTGCACCAACACAAAAGTCCTCGAATGTAGCTATTGTGTGCCAATGCGAACAGCGAGGCAGCAGTGGCATCGGGCGCGTTATGCACGTTAGCAAGCATTGACGGCCGTGACAATAACACAATCAAGTACACTCAACACATTCGTCGATAATGCTGCCCTGAAAGTAAACAAATATGGCCCTTCCGTAATAAATACAAATTCTTGTCAGCGTGCTCCACGTGTCGGATTTGGGCCATTACACCGGGTGACCGTGTTATTCGTACAGGCGGCAGACCCACCACCGCCCTTACTCGTCAATTTAACGGAGACAGCTGCGAGTGATGACACGAGAACCAGGTGTCGATAATGCCAGTCTCATAAAACTAAAACTGGTGGCCCAATCAAAAGACCGTCTACGAAACACGGTGCTGTCAGTTCATGCACGCACACAAAATATAACCCTGGGAGGCACCAGACAACACGCAGGAGGCGGGTAGGACTCACCCTCCATGCCGATGAGGAGGAGGTTTGAGGTGAGTGGGCCCCAGTTCCTCTTGGCCTGCTGACGGTTGATCCAGTTCCAGTTGAAATTCAGGAAGTCCACCACGATCTTCTTTCCGACCGTGTCGTTTAGCGTCTGCTGCAGGTACAACCTGAACATGCCAGCACCGTGGTCAGTGAATGCTTTTATAGGAGCGCAAAGGCTTCCTTGTGAACGAGAGTGTGGAAGTAAACGTGTCGTTGCGACGGTGGCCACGCATAAATGTTTGTGGGTTATTTTTTGTATTATTGACCAATATCTTTTTGCACAATTATCTATTGTTCTCGACAAACATGAATGACATCTGCGTTGAATTTGCGCTTAAATTGGCGAACCAAGTTCGCCGCATGCCGCTCTGCTGGTGAAGGCGCCGTGACTAATGCGAGTTTCAGAACGGCGGGGTCGAGGGTCGCCCTGCCTCCTGCCCTGCAGATTTGTACCTCCCCTCAAAAGGTGGTGTTAATTTAATACAATAAAATACCACATTCTCGCCGGTTTGGCTTTAGAATTTTCACGTAACAAGCATATACGAGTGCACAACAGCCATCATTCCCATGTTCCACCAACAACCTATTTAAAGAGACAGAAACAAATAATAAAATAACGAAGTAAATTTAAGTAATGAAGTAAATGTCAGTTGCTAAAATAATAGACGGTTTCGCATGCAATATTTAACAGAAAACAGAAGAACAACATTCCTTTCGATAATCTTCACCGCAGTTTTGGAAATGCCACACATGTCATATTTTTTTCCTCCTGGGCCTATTGATGTTTTCAGCTGTGGATAAGCTATTAAGTGCCTATGCCTGTAGCAGCCAAGTGTGCGTGTGACTTTAACTCAATCTGACAGCCACATCTGAACTTTAGCCTTTGATTTTTGGTAACAAGCATAAAACCCATTGCCAGCCACCCCAGGCATATGATGAACTCAACAGTAGTTCAACCTCTAGCAGTGTGATGTAAACTAACACAGACATGTTATGCACGGATAAACCAATTAATCCACACGTGTATATCAATTATAAGCATTGTGACATTGTGATTTAAAATGAAATTCAATCGATCTCATTAATAGCTATAACACTCATGTAACACGCATGTCAAGTACGTTGAAGATAATCTGTTGCTAAAACCTATTGCACTAAAGGAAATTCTAAACAGTTTAGGCAGTTGACAGAGGCATACATGAGGATAACCTTTCACTTACTCATTCAAACACATTTAAAAAATACCTTCAGCATAAATTATCTACAATATACAGTGTACATTGTCAGCTAATATATCGCTGTTTCTAGGGGGTGATTGACCACACCTCATCACGCTTGTCAGTGCAGATTAGTGAAGGCGGGAAGCATAAACGCGGGAGCGTAGAAGTACGGTACAATACAGGTAATCCCTCGATTCACGAACGTTCAGTTTACAAAATTTTGTGCGTACGGAATTTACAAGTTATGGACACTTTGAGATGAACGAAATCGAATTTCCACGTAAGTGACATTTCACAACGGCACGCGCAGCGAGCTCGTAAAATAAGAAGCAAACAGGAGGCTGCGTCGTCATCGATCCGCGAACGTCACGAAGTCACACTGCAGTGCAACAGTGACACGCCTCCACATCTCGAGTCATCCCACCACGCAGAACTGTGTGGTGCGTTCCCTGGAAAATAACAATTGTTGTTGTTGTTTTAAATTAATTATTATTCAATCGTTTTCAGATTTACGTACTTTGTTATGTTTGCGTTGTGAAAAGCGATGTAGTTGTGTATATTTTTTGGTATTAAATTAGTGGGAAAAGCCACTCCGATGTACTCATCTCTTTCCTAAATCGAGGGATACCTGTACATCTCATCAGGCTAAAAAAAAAAAACTACAGCAGATGGCATTGTAATAGGAATGATCTGATTATTATACTGCTGCTCTTAAAGAGGGTTTTTGGTAGTGTGAAGACAACTCACCTCAACCTACTGTCCCCTGCCCACCCCTACAAGTGCCAACCCCCCCCACTTCCAAAACTACCCAAATAAACCCCAACCCCATCCACGGGAGAAGGGGCAGGGCCTAAAACACAAAAAGGGGGCGTGGCCTAAAAAGTAATGGGCGGGGTTTAACGCATAAATGGGAGTGCGAGTCATGAAGAGGGCGTGCGCGTTATCAAGAGGGACCGTTCCAAGAGAGGAATGGGCAGGGCCTAAGGAGTAGGGTGGGTGACGCTTAAAGAGGTAGGAGGTGGAGGGTAAAAAGGAAAGGTGCGGAGATGAAGAACTAAACTGTTTATTTTACCAGGCATGGCCCACTGAGCTATATAGCTCTTTTTCATAAGCAAAATGGCCATCACAAATGGCTTACACGTGGAAATGTATCGCAGCCAAATACACTAAATGCACGTTTCGATGTGGAGGGGAGAACACACACACTTCAAATATACAGCAGGCGTCAGGGTCAGGATTGAACCCACGTCCTCCTGTATACCAGGCGAGGAAGTTAACACCTTACCACCGTGGCGCACAAGGTGCGGCCAAAGGCATGTAAGGAGTCTGGGCTCGAAAGAGGAAGGAGACAGGGGCTGACGAGCAAGAAGGGTGGGGGTCTAAGGAGTAATGGGATGGGGCATAAAGAGGAAGGTGGTGGGGCCTAATGGAGGTTAAAATTCCCTGTTAATTTAAAGTCATATAAAAGCATAGAAGAATCAAGTCCATGTAGCAAGGCATTCTATTGGTCCTGCAGATGTGTCCACAGGCCCAACTAGTTATAGTTCAATAACCAAATAGTAATTAAGGTGCAGAAATAGATATTTAAAGTGCATTTAGATTGTTCGGTTAAATATAGATGCCATGGGGGGGGGGGTGGTTGCTCGTAGAAAATAATCTATTGCTATGTGTTGTGCAGCTCTCAACTCTCGCAACTGCAGAGAACGGACACTTCTCCGAGCTGCTTCGCACCTGGGACCTTTTTCCCTGCCCGAAACATAATGCGTAATTTGACAATACCAGTGCATGCTGTGTTCTTACCAAGTTCGTATGGTTTATTAATTGCCTTTATTTGGTGATGCTGCATTTGGCAGGGGTGCGTTTAAGCACAATTCATTTAAAAAAAATGTACGCTCGTGAATGGGGGACTTTTGAGGAGGGGGAGGGGGGGGGGTTCAGGAACATTGCAAAGCCCCGAGTTCAAGCCATTGCATACAGAATCAGAATATTTCTTTATACTGGAGGAATCCGATGAGCTATAAAGCTCTTTTTGACAGATGTCCAGTAAGTGGCGGGTAAGAACGTGACACCAACAAACAATACACAAACACGATATACCTGTCCCTGCCACCGCTCGCTCGGACCGCCTCCAGTGTCTGGAGGAATTCGGGGAACTTCAGGTTCTGCCGCGTTGCTGGTGGCACAAAGGTGGGAAAGTTTCCCAGCTTTTTGTCGTCGTAGTAGAGGAAGCGGTGCGTAGGCGAGGCGTACACCGAGAAGTCGCCCGTTCCCAGGTGATCGCACAGGTACGGGAGGTCCCACTTGAGTGCCGAGGTCACCAGGCCCGTGCCTGTCAGCACCACTGGCTCCTGAGCGACAGTAGCAGCAGAGGCAGCAGAGTGAGACATCACCATGATTGGTAATGTCCAATGTTGTCATTCCCCCCCGCACCGCCGATTTCACGGTTGGCTACGTACGGTGTGAAAGAAGTTCAACATACAAACATACTACGTGTATTCTATGTTGAGTTTCTCATATTAATTCATGTTCATTACTCTCCTTTTCTGTATACTGCGCCATGGCTCTCCCTTTGCCCACCACTATTGTGCAAAAGAAGTTCGACATATGTACAATATGCTGCTGAATAAAGGTCTCCTCAAGTCTTAGTTAGCTGTCGCAGCCTCGCGATGTAATGATCCACCTAGCAACCGCACACCGGCTGATCGCTCCATCTGCGTCGATGGATGCCAAGTTTTTTTTTTTGCTTCATCGATAATCACGTGCAAAAAGATAACGGGTAATTACTTTTCTGCACATATCGACACGTTTAATAATGAAAATAAAAACTCCAGCCCTGTTTGTGTACCTTAAGTGTCGGTTGGAACTTGCCCCACAGTGACTGATGGGTCCTAAAACTGGTGCCTTATCATGGCTACCGTTTACCAATCCCGTTCACGAGGGCCGTGCAGTTCGAATTGTCCGGTGTGCGAAACAATTTAATCGTTACTCAAATTCAAGTGAATGTTATTATCGGTTCCATGGCTTTTGAATAGATATTCAATTCCAAAAAAAAATTGTGTAAAGGCTGATGATCGATTAAAGAGCCTCGTAGGGAGTCGGTGAGGATGCACTTCCACTCTCATCACTTTGACAAATACTCGTGACAAAGTTACGGTGGCAAAGCAGAAGCTGGACAAAATGGCTGTAACATGATAAAACCTGAGGAGAACAATGCAGGATGTTGCAAATAGATGTCATTAAATAAACAGCCTACGCACTGTGATATAAATTGACCGTGCTGCTATATAAAACCGCACGTTACAGTGGATACAAGCAGGTGACTGGATACATCTAAAACAACACCAACTTCTAACACCCACTATGCAGAACACAAAGCCACCTCTCTCTTGTATTGAACAGTTCTAAGGCAAGCCAACATTACAATTAAGATGATTGAAAAGCTAATAAAACAAAAACTCAAGTTATTTGTCTCAATAACTGTAATGAGTCAGCCCATGTGGCCCATCAGAAGAAGTGGCAAAACGAATAGCAATTGCCTATTTAATTTGAACTGGTGGTCACTTCACAGCCCAGGACAAAGGATTGGGGCAAACTCACATGATGGAAGCCAATATAAACGTCTACAACTTTAATATAATTATCAACATGTTTCCTTAACTACTAGCAACACTGCAAGTATGACAATATACATATCACCGGCAATGTATCACGACCACCACTGACATGTCCTGAATGGATATAGAATGCGTGTGGTTTTTGAGGGATGTAATGTTTATTACAATAACATACCCTCAAGCTAAACTCTCCTGATTAAAACCATTATCACCAAATCGCACGAGTGTTTCTATTCCCTGCTATTCATTTCACGCAGCGTTCATTAGGCCGGTATTTACAGAACTTTCTTGGCACGCACACTGGAGCGGCGGTGCCAATATTCGCAGGCCAGCCAACATTTCCACGCACGCAGGTAGCAGCACAATGGCATCCAAAAAATATGGGCTGGAAAGGGTATCACACCAAGGGCACGGTGCGGAGTGATCGTTGCCCTGGTACGAGAATCGCCATCGGGCTATGGCAGTGCTTTCAGACTTCATGCAAAGTGGCAACTCCCTCCTCAACCCCATTTCCTTCCAATTATTGATTTGGCCCCGCCATTATTTTGTTAACCCCCCCCCCCCCCACTGCACTCTCTCCAATTTTCTTTATTGCTTGATCTTTCAACAATCACATACTATATAGACTCAAGTTAAGCGTGTACCCTTTTTTTATATTCCAGTGTGTGTCTCAATTCAATTATTTTAATTACTGGAAAATAAAATCTCGTCTGTGCTAAAAATACATGACCACAGGACCATCTGGTGTCCCTAAAGAAGTCATATCGTCTCACACCCTATGGGAGACACAACCCAGTTCTGAAACCACAGCTGTAGATGCACAATAAACCGTAAGGTAGGTGACACGGGAGGCATTTAAAAAAAAACTAGCAGGGTGTGGTGAAATAAAGTGTGTAAAACCTTGCTTATTTCACATAGACGCTGTCCAAATGTCATCAACAAAATAGTGATTTACAATCACCCATCAGTGTTTCCCATACCTCCTAAGTTGCTACAAATGTCATGATCTGTCATTTTAATTAAATATCATGAGTGGAGCACACCGCACTATGAACCCATCATTCCGAGTTCAGTTCCCAGTCATTAACCACAGCAGTGGGATGCGAAATATCTGAACCGGTGCTGGGCACCCCCCCCCCCCCCTCCTTACCAACCAACACGGATTCCAGTGAAATATGATCAATAATCCGAATTCCGCTGACACTGCACAGGAAGGCCTTGATTTAGAAATACGGTTACCAGTGCAGTTTCCATCCATTCAATACTGTGATGACTCTTTTTACAATACCTGTAAAAGTGGCACATCTGTAAGCGGTGTTACAGCACGACATTAACTTTACCTTGAATATTTCCTCACCAGATTTTAGGGCCTTAATGTGGGTACTTAACCGAAGCACACGAACCTTGCTCTACATCCAACTGCTGATAACTGACAAATTAACGTGGCCACTAGGACCAGTGTCCCCACCACGAGCTACTCAGAGTGTAAGGTGAGACCTGTATTACTGACTAAAAATAAATAGCCGCACGGTGAGTAAAATACAGCATAACTGACCACAAGCACATTGCCAACGATCCCACGCACGATTTACTGGCAATGTGGGCACGGTCTGTTACTGCAAGTATGTTGCATCGTTATACCACAGAGGATACACACATAATCTGCAGTACAATCACAACGGATAACGCGATTGGTCAACTGAAAACTTAACCCTGCAAAAGTGCACACGGCCACTTTCATGCCGTCCTCCGCTGCCTCCCCAGATGGAAAGGACAGAGGCCTCCGTACAGTTGAAACTTCACACCGTTCACCCGCAAAAAAAAAGCGCTTCGACCGAGTCTAGCACTTGATCGGGTGTGACTCTAAAGCCTTGGGAGTCCAGTTAAGTTCATAATAAGTTTTTAATCACGTTACATGTTGCCTGTAATGCTGTGCTCCACCATGGTCAAACGTAATGCTGGCTCTGTACCAGTGACACGAACACGAGTGTTCTAACTGCTGTCCCCTTTTTGTTTAATGCGGACGTGTGTATGTATATTTTTCCCTGGGTGCCAATTTTTGCAAAGTGCCAGGGCCTAACACAATTACACCAGGTCACAAACATGGAACCACACGCCAAAACTTTCAGCCGAAACAATATTCATTTCAACAATGCCTTCAACACAAGACATAATTAATACCCAATTTTTTACATTTAAAAGGTTAACACAAAACGTGGTCGTTAATCTTTATACTACACGCCTCAACTGTAATGAGATTTAAATTGCTCCATATATTACTCTTCTCCAGTTTAACATTCATAACATACATCAAATCCTGGTTGGCATGTTAGCGTTATGGGGGTTGGTATGCAGGTAACCACATAGATGCATTAATATTGCACTATTAATGTAGCCATTTTCCTGTGGTTGTCTATATTTAGAAAATGTAACTTTTATTTGCATTGCATTTATGTCCATTCTACAAATACACTCCATACATTATAGATTATAATTCTTATATATGCATCATTCTGAGTTTGCGGTGTGTGTCAATAGCCACCCTGGAAGAAAAACCCCTTGTAAATGAGAAGTTCCTTATCTTATTTTATACGTGCATTCAAATAATGCCAGTTGAAATTTAAGAGGTGAAGAACCCCAAAAAGACAAAGATTTAGAGCTTATTCTCGATTGTCTGGGTGCTGATGCGTGGCCGTTCAGCGGTGGGGTGATTTGTCTGGACCCCAAATAATATATTTGTTTACTTTTCCATAGAAGTCACAACTTCATAATAAACTCTTCTAGATTTGAAGCTTTCGTGACTGCAAGGATCCATACTCTTTGGTTCTATTCGGTAAAGTCACGTTGGTAAAAAATAAAACAACAAAAATCACGACGTTTCGGCCACAACACAAGTGGCCTTCATCAGGTACTGTCACGAGGACAGCGTTGGAGTGAAGACAGTCCAGCCCAGGCCGCGTCCTTTTAAGCTGTGTGGGAGGAAACAAAACGCTTTGACAAAGGAATTAGCATAAAATGACCGTAAAGCACAAGAGGACCGTGCCGGTCTTTGTTTGACGATGAGCCAAAAAGCCGCTGTTGCAAGGATGACCAGATCACGCGTGATGGTTTATGCTTCTTGACGAGATCGGCGAGGTATTGTGGTTCATTCGTTTTGTCTTTCATTATTCTAAGCTAACGTTTATCGGATCATTTCGGTTAACCTTTGTCATTCTTGTATATTGAGAGGACCCTCCCAATCCCGATCCTCAAACTCTACAACACACTCACACACTTGGATCTACAACACACACACTTGGATCTACAACATACACACTCACACACGTGGATCTACAACACACACTCACACACTTGGATCTACAACACACACACTCACACACTTGGATCTACAACACACACACATGGATCTACAACACACTCACACACTTGGATCTACAACACACTCACACACTCACACTTGGATCTACAACACACACACTCACACTTGGACCTACAACACACACACTCACACACTTGGATCTACAACACACACACTCACACACTTGGATCTACAACACACACACTCACACACTTGGATCTACAACACACACACACTTGGATCTACAACACACACACACTTGGATCTACAACACACACACTTGGATCTACAACACACACACACACTTGGATCTACAACACACACACACTTGGATCTACAACACACACACACTTGGATCTACAACACACACACTTGGATCTACAACACACACACTTGGATCTACAACAGACACACACTTGATCTACAACACACACACACTTGATCTACAACACACACACACTTGATCTACAACACTCACACACTTGGATCTACAACACACACTCTCACACACTTGGATCTACAACACACACACACACACTTGGATCTACAACACACACACACTTGGATCTACAACACACACTCACACACTTGGATCTACAACACACACTCACACACTTGGATCTACAACACACACTCACACACTTGGATCTACAACACACACACACTTGGATCTACAACACACACACTCACACACTTGGATCTACAACACACACACACACTTGATCTACAACACACACACACTTGGATCTACAACACACACACACTTGGATCTACAACACACACACACTTGATCTACAACACACACACACTTGATCTACAACACTCACACACTTGGATCTACAACACACACACTCACACACTTGGATCTACAACACACACACTCACACACTTGGATCTACAACACACACACTCACACACTTGGATCTACAACACACACACACTTGGATCTACAACACACACACACTTGGATCTACAACACACACTCACACACTTGGATCTACAACACACACACACACTTGATCTACAACACACACACACTTGGATCTACAACACACACACACTTGGATCTACAACACACACACACTTGGATCTACAACATACACACACACTTGATCTACAACATACACACACACTTGATCTACAACACACACACACTTGGATCTACAACACACACACACTTGGATCTACAACACACACACACTTGGATCTACAACACACACACACTTGATCTACAACACACACACACTTGGATCTACAACACACACACACTTGATCTACAACACACACACACACACACTTGATCTACAACACACACACACTTGGATCTACAACACACACACACTTGGATCTACAACACACACACACTTGGATCTACAACACACACACACTTGGATCTACAACACAAACACACTTGGATCTACAACACACACACACTTGGATCTACAACACACACACACTTGGATCTACAACATACACACACACTTGATCTACAACACACACTCACACTTGGATCTACAACACACACACACACACTTGATCTACAACACACACACACTTGATCTACAACACACACTTGATCTACAACGCACACACACTTGATCTACAACACACTCACACTTGATCTACAACACACACACTCACACTTGATCTACAACACACACACACACGTGGATCTACAACACACACACTTGATCTACAACACACACACTTGATCTACAACACACACACACACACACTTGATCTACAACACACACACACACACTTGATCTACAACACACACACACTTGATCTACAACACACACACACTTGATCTACAACACACACACTTGGATCTACAACATACACACACACACTTGGATCTACAACACTCACAACACTTGAAGTACCCAGCATCACCGGCAGGGCACGTGTCACACTCCGCCCCCCACCGCAGCCCCCACCCCTCCACCCACCCCCCCGCAGCCCCGCCCCCGCGGTGCTACGTGACCGAGCCGGCGTGCCGCGCGCGTCACGTGACCGCGCCGCGATAACTTTATTGGTACCCAGCGCGGCATCGGAGCTTCTACATTTCCCAGTGCGCATCGTGCGAGGGCGGCGCCAGCACCGCCGCGCAGGCGCCATTGGCCGGCGCCGCCCACGTGACCGCGCCCATGCACTCTACCAATTTAAATCGCGTCCCTCAGCACTTTTTTTTTTGCAACGCGAGCTCGTAAACTTTGCATTGCAACATTCGCTGCCTGTGCCCAAAACAAATATCGAAGCGAAAACACAAACGTGGAAACACGAGGGCGACTCCATAAACAATTAAAGATTGTTGCATAAAAAAAGACCCGCTTAATTCTTATCTCAAGTTCCACGTTGCTCCAGCATAACATATACATTAGGTTTCAGCAAATTGCTGAGAAATGCACAGCTGTTGTGGAGGTCTCCATTCAGCAGCGAATGGAGACTGCTGATGAACTTCATACATTATATGCACCAGCATAGAACGGTATTAGATCAAAGGGTCACTGCTTTAAAAAAAAATACTTCGCATTAAAAACGGTGAAAAACTCTCGTAAGTTACCATCATGGCCATCATCATTACTGATATGCACGAGAAATTATAGTGTCCTCCACCACGTGCCACGCAGACAACGATGCCATTCAACGCGGCCAGGAGGGCATGTGAACAGCACCACGGTGCACACACGCAAGCCCTCTGTAGCAGCCCAGTGCAATAGGGTGGTGGTGACAGCTGTGAGATCCAGATACTCGGGTACACGTGCATGCAACAATCTCGTCAGATTACGCGACGTGCAATCTCTCACGTCGGACTGTGAAATTTCAACTATAAACTACACAGCCTATGAAATGCACTTCGTTTGTAATTATGCCGACAATTTACTCTGGGAAAGACTGAAGCCGAAGACGCATTTCACAGGAGGGTCTCTTCGATTATTAGGTTTACAAAAAAAATGTATATTTCACGAATGAGCGTTCGGCACGCGAGCTATAACATCGCATTAATCATTGCTTAAATGTAACTACAACAGCTCATTGACACAGCCAAAGCACGCACGTGTGCGGCGGCTGAAGTCGGGGCCGCCTCCTCTCCCTTTCCCCTCCTCACCTCGTTATCGATGAGCGCCTCGGCGCGCACGTCGTCGTGCGGGAAGCTGGGGATTCTCTCCGTGGGGAAGGGGTAGACGCGGAGCTGCGCGTCGCTCCAGGCGGGGCCCCGCGAGGCGCGGCCCGCGGGCCCCGTGCCCCCAGCGGCCATCGTCGTGCCCGAGCTCCCGCCTTGTTTTGGCCGGAAGCGGGAGAGGCGCGCGCCACTGCGGGGTTCGAACGCGAGGACGCGCCCCCCCCCCGACCTCCTGCAGAGGGACACGCCCACTTTGTGCAGGTGCCACGCCCGTTTTACAAATGGTCACGCCCCCTCCCCTTCCCTCTCTCATTGAAACGGCTTGCAGGTGACCTCGCCCCCGACCTACCCTGGGGGGAAGCCACACCCCTCTCCTGCAGCGGGGCGCGCCCACTTCGCCTGCTTTGCAAATGGGCACGCCCATTTTTTGCAGATGGTCACGCCCCTTCCCCGTCTCATTGAAACGGCTCGCAGATAACCACGCCCCCACCCCCCCCGGAAGAAGCCACGCCCCTTTTCTGCAAATGGCCACGCCCCCCTCCACATTGCATTGAGATTGTTTTTCTGCTATAAATGTCCAAATGATGATGCCACTTTGTTGAGCTGTTATCATTTGTGGTAGCCAGGTCACGTCTAAAAATAAGTTAGTATCTGAGTGTACTTTGCCTGGTAGGATGTGGATGGTTCAGTTTTATGTATGTGTGTTTGGGTGATTTTTTTACATTTCTTATACTATCATGTTTTTTTTTATATTGCTTGTTGGTGTCACGCTCTTACCCGCCACTTACTGGACATCTGTCAAAAGAGCTTTGTAGCTCACCGGATTCCTCCTCTAGTATAAATAAATAAATATTCTGGTTCTGGCAGCCTGCGTTGGAGGAGCCCCGCCCACTGTAGCGGACGGTCACGCCCCGCCCCCCTGGAGTCAGCCAATCGCTTGCCACCTCGTGCTGGTTTGCATGCGCGGGTGAATACAGGGGGCTTCAAAAAAATATTAACACTGCCGATAATTTGCAACAATACCACAAGAAAAAAAAGATACCAGGCATGCATGCGTTGACAATGATGGCGAATAAGTGGGAGGCTCTTTGACTTTTTTCATCTATTAACATACATTTGTTATCATTTTACAGTGTATTGTCCGTTCTTTTTCTGTTAAAAAAAGCTAGGCCCATAGCGTTACAATGATTTTGGAAGCACCCTGTACATTTAACGGCAAGGTTGTTTTAAATTTCAATTTAAATCTTTCGTGACTGCAAGGATTCATCTTCTATGGTTCTTTCGGTAAAGTCACGTAGAATGAGAAAACTACCAACAAATACAGATCATTGCTACTAAAAACGTACGTTTGAATGCAGGCAGGCCCGTCCATAGGGGGAGTGCGGGCCGCCGGGGCAATCGGCATTGTGTTGGTAACCCCGATGCCTTCAATCTAAACCGGCGGCACAGAGTCGCGTCTGACGCCCTAACATCGAAGCGTGAGGACCCGAGGCGGTCACCCCCATTTTGCCGTACCCGAGGGACGGCTTTGGGGTCGTCCATAAATGACGTCACGCAATTTTTAACGATTTTTGACCCCCCCCCCGTCGTCACACGGCGTCACAAAAAGTCAGACCCCCCCTCAAATATGACGTCACAAAGCTCTGCGCCCCCCCCCCCCAAAAAAAATATAAAACATGCTTCAAATCGCTTTAAACTATTGTCATTGTAGTGCGTATTTAATGTGGCGCTGCACTCTGATGTTGTAGGAGAATTTTTTTATTAAAAAATCTATTTAATTAAGTATAACGTGTTGTCTATATTTATTTAAAGTTGCCCATTTTGATGTGACGTCACATTTCTCACCCCCCCCGCCCCTCGTCACATATCGTCACAAATGTCTGACCCCCCCCCCCCCCCCCGAGGTGCGTGACGTCATTTATGGACGGCCCCTTTGCGTATAAGATCCTGAAATGAAATCTGTAAATGACGCGAAAAACCCCCGTAACAGCACAGAAGCAGTACAGCCCTTTTGAAACACCACACTAAAAATGTGTGAATAGCACTCGACTTGTAAGCGTTCTGCTAAAAGACCCCGTTAACAGACAGGGTGCCCCACTCACTATGAAGCCCCGGGCTATGGGAGTTGATTGCAATGACGATTGAGCTTCACGATTCTGTCTCCATCATACATCGTGGTTTCGTATTTCGCTCTATGAGCTACCTACACCTTGCGATTTATCAATCGTCCAATTATGTATTTGCTAAATTAATGTTCCCATTGCGTGTTATAACATCTTCAGTTATTCATGGTCTCCCATGCCTCCCCGCATGATTTTGTCTAAAGCTTTTTACAGAGTCACGTGTAGTATTATTATCACGGTTGGCTACGTACGGTGCAAAAGAGGTTCAACAAGCATACTCTACGTGGATTCCATGTTTATAGTTTCCCATTTCCATCCACGTTCATTACTCTCCTTTTCTGCAGCGTGAATTTTGTGACTTTAGGTCTATTTTGCGTTTGTTTTCAAAAGCTGTACACGCTATCCCCTTGGGCAAAGAAGTTCGACATCCATTACATTGCAGTGTATTACACAAAGACACAACAACAACAATGCCCTCCTCGTGACGCTCGTGACTCACAACGCCGCATTCCCCGTCTGAAGGACTCGTGCAGCAACGTCTTCTCTCCCCCCCACACACACACAATGTTTTGAATCAATCATCGATTATTTAATCAAATCACGACGTTTCGGAGGCAACACAAGCTTCCGTCATCAGGTGTAACTAGCACAGCAAAATTACTCTACGTCGTGTTTTGATTAACTTTATTTTATTTTTACCTACGTGACTTTACCGAAAGAACCAAAGAGTATGGATCATTGCAGTCACGAAAACTTCAAATCTAGAGTAATCGATTATTTATTTTAACATTTTGGTAAACTATATAGCGATCACTGGCGGCTGCAGGCACACGCTTAAACCATTTCGAGACACTATCGGAATCAGAATATTTATTAATACTGGAGGAATCCGATGAGCTATAAAGCTCTTTTAACAGATGTCTAGTAGGGCCTGGTAAGAACGTTACAACAACAAACGGTAAAAACGATACTAGTGCAAAGTACAATAAAGGTATGCAAATCACCCAACAGCATAAAATTAAAACTAAACCATCCCCATCCTACCAGGCAAAGCCCACTGAGGTATTAACTTATTGTTCAGAAGCGACCTGGCCACAAATGATAGCTCAACAATGTGGCCCATAATTTTGACATTTTTTTGCAGCAATTTTTGAAAAATAATCTCAATGCATGTTTCCAAATGTGATTAGAATCACCTTATTTCGTACGGCTGCTGCTGGAGATGCAGAGCAACAACGACAATCACACACGCACGTGGTCAAGCCAGATAAACCGCGTCATCAGGAGTAGCGGAGTGTATTGCCGTGACGTCTCCTTCGTATTTGTGTATCGGGCATTGCATCGTCATATGTTGTACTACGGTCTGTTCTGGATGACCAAAGTCGCACACTAGTGGAGAGTTTAAAACAATGTCCATTTGTGCATCAGGTTATCCGCATCTACTGCCATGGTTTGTGCAGTGGATGCGCTTTATGGTGAACCATGAGCTTCGTGGAATATCAAAACCAGGGATCTTCTACGTTGGGTCGTTCTTAATCTTACAAAGCATGAATCGATGTATTGATAGAACTCTCGCCCCACCGTGTGTTCACCAGACCGTGAGCTTGTCTTTGCCCTCAAGGGACACAAATGGGCTGGGTCGGCATAACCCTGAGCGGTGTTTGCTGCGAGTCACCGTGAGCTCATTATGAGCCCGTTCTACCTCCCCCACACCCCTGGTGTTGTCTGCTCGGCGAGGTCCCAAGGTCAGGGAGCAGGGCAGGATGGGTTCGTGGAGCTGGGAGTGTGGGAGTAGATTAGGAACCACGGCGAGGCTGTGAAATCCCAACTCCAGCAGCAAAACTCGTCCTCGGAATACCGGACACCCAGTTAATCCGTTTTATTTGTAATAAAGAAAAAACGTATGTTGAAAAATGCCATAGTTTGTTTATTTACAGCTTGTGATGTTATTATGCTGCTCTACATGCATTTAACAATCTATTTGATAAAAAAATGTAAATAAAACATCACCGCCGAAAACAGCTAAAATTATAGGCTAATTATTCTAGAACGCACGATTCATTGCTGCAGTACTCTACTGTAGTTTAAATCTCGATTGAAATCTCATTTCTTCAGAACCTCATTGTGTGTTTAGTTTGTTGTCCTCTCCCCCGCACCTCGGATTAGCGCGGTCGGCTGCGTACGGCGCGAAAGAAGTTCAACATACAATACAGTACGTAGTTACTGTCCAGGGCGATGCGTGGGATAAGCGGCAGCTGACAGCAGGGCATGCAGCATGGCTCTCTCTGCACGCCCTTACATTTCTGAGCTTCAGTATTGCGATTCCTGAAGTCGAAAGCGTGTCTGGTTCCCCGCATTATGTAGAGTAGGGGTGGGGAACGTCCGGCCCGTGGGCCGTATAAGGCCCGCGAAATCATTTGGTCTCTGGCCCTGCCAAGAAAACCGAAGGCGGGACTCGAAATTCAATAAATCTAGGTAGAGCAAACCTGGAAAAGCAGTTGCGAGTAGCAACATCATCAACGCCAGCTAGCATCACACGCCTCACAAAAGAGAAGAAGTTCCAGCCATCACATTAGGGGTGAGTTAATTAAATGTTTGACCAAAAATAACAGGCTAATTTTTAAGTTGATAATTTGTATATGGCCCGCGAATGATGTCATATAAATATGCAAAAGGCCCTTGGCAGAAAAAAAGGTTCCCCACCCCTGATTGTAGTGGGTACACAACAGCAGCAACTACTCCTCTCTTTCTCCCTGCGAGGCAGCAACCACGTGCGTGTGTGTGTTGCCGTCAGCAGACCGATTGTGAAATTCCTTGGGAGAGGCAGGATTAATGAATCCCTGGGCTCTAGAACATGCCGGTGCGTAGTGGGAACGGGAGACCCACACGGCACCACGCTTAGGTATAGCACGTGCTGTACTTGAGACCTAATCAATTCCATACGCCCCTTTTAGTTTTAACAGGAATGCGCAAGGGAGTGTATTTTAATACAATCATAATTATTACCGATCGTTGTCAATTTACTTTTGGATGAAGGCCTCCCCTACGTCGATGTCGGTCATGGGGGTTGTGTGACCATACTTCACTACGCTGGTCAGTGCGGGTTGGTGATGGGCTCGACCGGTTCAGATACCACTCGCCATTGACATTAGCCATGACCGGGAACTGAACTCATGCGGGCGGATTTGTAGGGCAGAGCGCTATACGAGAGCTGAACCTTTAATATACGGTGTGGCTATCACCACATCCGGCCGCGTTTGCCTCCCCGGTGTTGATGTTTACGCACCGTACCAGGCACTAATTTAAGGTCGAGTTGACATGAGGGACACCTACAGGGGCTGTTCAAATATGCGTCACCGATTTTAACCGCGGACGGGAATCGAATGTGGGTCATCGGATTCGTATTGGTTAGTGCGCTGACCACCGCACCACTGCTCCCCGTTCTCCCCGCTCGGACACACGCACAGACACGCACGCGCGCACAGACGTTCACTCACTTTTACAGCATCGCCCATGGGAATTCACGAACGCGTGCTGCAAAGGGCTAGAATGTGTAACTGTGTGTAACGGGCTGACTTTGCAGTATCACAATTGGCATTGCCGCAATCAATTCCAACCTTTGGTTTAAATGCACACCCCTCCAGTGCGGCGTGGCTGGCAGGTTCACCCCCCGAGCTGCGCCGTGCGCTGGACGGCGACGCCTCAGTTTGTGGTGGTAATCATGGAACTGCGTCCACCCGCATCCTCAATCACCGCAGAGGGGGATTCCTGAGACGGGGTGCTGCGTGAATTCCTTTTGGCCGTTCAATTATTCATAATTGAGTCTTGCAAACATACAGTGTTGCTTACGTCATTTATTATTTTAGTGCGTTATTGCCGTAGATTGGCACATGCGCAATGCAAATATATCGTCATCATCATCAGCCATGCTGGATTAAGGTCTACCCGAGCTGTCGCCACGTCACACAGTAACGCGATGGAACAATCCTAGAACCTGCACACGAGCGGACTCATCACTCCATCTCATTCCTGGATATCCTCTCCTTTGGCTGTCAGTCAGTTGTTAATCTCGACCACCAGCCATCACGTGCCTTGCCCAAGTCCACTTACTTTCAATCACAGTCAATATATTTCTAATATATACGTGTGTGATCTCTGATTCGTGGAAACTCCATCATGATAGCATTAATAGTACTGGCTGGAAAATCATGTCTCAAAGAACATGACCCAAAATGTGTAAAATTCACAAAACCTTTGTGCATTATCCAAAACCCATAAGCAGTCTCTAAAGAAGGTCATTGCAGTCCTCTTGTGTTCGGTCACCATCACAATAAAGCAACACATTGTCTGTATAATACGGATTTCGCGACCAATATTATCGATAATATACGGTTTTTTTTAGTTAGATTGGCATGAATATTCCAGCAAATCACCTGAAGCTGGTTGTAATTTGCCAGCGAAAAGTTGTACTAAAATTGTAAATGTTGTGGGTTTACTCTCCAACACAACGGTGTGCTGAAGTAGTAACTAAATGTCACGTATAGGTCTGCGTAATTGGTTACTCTCATGGCTTTGACAATAATCACAAGCGAGTGGACATCGAGCAACCGCCTCTTGAGCTGGGGCAACCAACCCCCAGGGAGGAATGGGTCGGAAGCCCACCAGGCTTTATAGAGGGACGAGTAGCAACCGAGCAGCCCACTCTGAGAAAACCTGATTAATGAACCTGATTAATTAATACGTAACTACATTCCTAATGAACGTCAACATACTGTTGCTATTGAGATGAAAGCAATTGATCATGTATGATTATGTAACACCAAAAATCTCTTCAATCAACCTTTTTTTCACTTATTCCCCATAATGCTAAACCTAACACGTAACTGTAATCACAATAGCATTTACACGCTATCTTCATTTCCAACACAATACATCTTAGTATAATTAATGATAACCTATTTTCACAAACTACTGAATATAATTAATGTTATTACATCACCAAGCAATCGACTCTAATTATTAAACCGGTCCACGTGCACGTGTCCTGGAGACGTCATAGCACCTATTTGAGTACCCGGAGCAGCACGTGCTTTCACGCAGCGAGATCGGCGCTCTTGCCAAGAAGACCAGGTGGTTGATGCTGGGTGTCATTCCAGCGAAACGTCGCACAAAAAATATCAATCGTTTGCTTGACTTTTGAACATTCCTACGGTTTTTTTTTCTTCTGGAAACCCAATTCAGTCGACATATTTGCACAAGGGACAACTTGATTTGATTGACTGTCGGTTGGTTTGTGTGCTGTTGTTGTTTAAAACTAAGGTGGAGGGTTATATTTACGAGTTTACACGATCTCACCCAAACGAAACGAATTGTGAATTTTTAGCCTTTGTTGGTTCTTTTTGAGTTCTTCAATCATGTTTTGTAATTGTCATCGGTTGCATAACGTGTGTTTAGTCAGCAAATTTGAAGTGGTTAATTTTCTCATTTGTGGTTGTCTTTAATTCTCGAAAGCAATTAATAAAACCTTTGTGGGAGCGTATTTCCTTACTCCCCTAGAGGTGTACATGAGTCGGGGTTCTTCGCACCTCACCGTCATTTATGTCTGTGAAACATTGTGCACGTGACAAATTACATTATTATCTTTGGCAGATGCACTGATTAGCTCCGTGTAATTATTTTATTGTGATGCATTTCAACCCAGGAAAGTCCCAAGACTCAGGAGTTTTTTTACGGGAGTCCTGAATAATTTACAGGTGATGTTTTTTTTCAGCATTGTGATGTTTTGCCATTACCAATTACGTTCTGCTTTGGTTTTAGCAATGGAAGGAAGAAACTCAGTGGAGGTGGCTCCCGGTGGGGGGGGGGGGGGGCTTTTGGGTAATTGGGTGAGCCACAGTGGCGAGAGCTGCTATAAATATCAACATCATAAGCAACTTCCGTTGAGCTATCATTTGTGGCCAGATCGCTTCTGAAAAAAGCTATATAGCTCAGTGGGCCTAGGTTGGTAAAATAAAATAAAAACTATACAAACTTCACGCAGAAAGGCACCCAAGTCAGGAATCTTGCCGTGTGGCACCAGCGTTGCCACTGCGTCAACCTGCTACCGCCCTGCACTTTTGGCGAATAGAGATGATCACGGATCTCGATTTTGCAGACGAGGCAGATCTATTCGCCGACGAGTGACGACCCTGCGTGAGGAGCAGCCGTCTCGCGGCGCCTTCTGCAGAGCGAGCAAGGGGGCGCGCGCGCTTGTGTCCATCACGGGGTCAGGGTCAGACGAGAACCCGAATGTGTGCCTTTGGGCACGTTCCTCTCCAAGTGCAGGTCACGGGTTGGACGGTTGAGTGTGGTTGTGATGTTGATTCCTCGGGCTACTGTGGCCTGGACGCACGCAGTCGCCTCGGTCTGACGGGTTCGGTGATGAATCGGCTTGACAAGGTCTGGAGGCAGCAGCGGCGGCGGCTTGCTCTCGTAACGCAATTGCGCGCGATACGCGGCCCGAGTGATGTCGGTGCTGCTGTGTAGGGCCGGAGTGTCTTGAAGAAGGACTGGGACGCTTCCCGTACGCGATGTCGGCACAGAATCAGGGAGTGCGATTACTCGAGCGCGTCGCGAACGAAGCAGAAGCGAATCGGATCGGACTCGCCGACAGTAGAACTACGATGACGAGAAGACGTCGCTTTGAAAATGGGCATCTGAGAGCCTTCGTTTATCTGGGTGTCTGCAACTCCTTGTTTGAATCCCAGAGAGACCAAGAATCCGACTCCTCCATAATGACAATTGTCCTCTCTCCCTCTGATAGCATAGGAAGTCCATCTTTAAACGTGAGGGATGTTCTCTTTGTCTCCTCGCCTCTCTGAATCCTACTGTGATAAATAATATTCACAGGCTTGTTTTTCGGATATTTTGTGTGTGTGTGTGTTAATTATGCTTGTGCATCGCTGCCAAGGCAACATCGCCAAATAAAGGGGTTACATGTGAGAATATATCCAGGTCTATATCCCATTGCGCTCTCATTTAAATCCAACCGCCGCCCCGCGGAGGCACCGCGCACGGCCGCGTGAGGTCCGGCGTTTCGCTGACAGAGCCGCCTGTGCGCACGAGGACGCGCGCGCGATAGCTTATGCTCGCCGCTTAGCTGCTCGCGTCTGCCTCGAACGAGAGTGCACGCCGTTATTGATGAGCGTGCCGCACACACACGCGCACACACATTGCGCGTTGCGGTCGGGTATAGCCTGCATTATATATTAATACGCGCGCGTGTGTTTACGTCTCTGCGCCAAGACCGTACACTTGTGGGTGGATGGGGGAGGGGGGTGGGTAGGTTCTAGACAGAGATGGGTGGCTGTGGCCAGTGGGGATGATGGGTGTGGATGGAGGGTGGTGGGATGGATGGTTGGAGGGTTTGTGAGGAAGGGGGGGGGGGTCTTAGAACATACTGTGCCCCACCCCGACCCCCCCCCCCTCTCACGGGCTTTCTTCTGGCCACGCAGTCTGCCAGCTGCCTCCCCTCTCTCACTTGCGAGGTGGGCGACGCGAGATGAGCATCGCCCCCGCACAAAGAGGAGCAGCAGCAGTAGCATCTCTGGTCGTCAAGGGATCGCCGCACACGACGTGGAGAGAGCTGCGAGAGAGAGAGAGGTGCGCGCAGCCCCCGTGTCCCGCAGAGAGGAGTCATCTCTACTCATCTCGATGCGGTCTCTGATTTGGCGCGAAGGGATTAAAGGGACCGATGGACCTTGGTGACTGTGCCTGGCGTCGTGGGGACACGATGAGCGTAAAGACCGAGTGTGTGCACCGGCATCAGCTGTGTTCGCTGATCCTCGGGGAGGACTGAAGCGAATCTGCCACACACCTCCCGTGATTTCGGTCCAGTTTTGTTTATTTTACGAGCAGCGACAAATACAGCAGCAGCCAGCAGCCAGAAGCATTGACACATGGATTCATCGTTGGTATCACCGTTCCCATCATCACCATCATCACCATCGAGGGCATTGCCACCAACAGCACCACTCCTACCGGAAACATCACGAGCAGCAGCAGCAGCAGCAGGGTCTCGGCAGAGGGACGTTGCGGCAGAAGCCGTAGAGTGGCAGGAGCAGCAGCAGCAGGAGGACGATGAGGGATGTGCAAGGGTCGTGGTCGCGGACTCGGGGGCGGAGCGCTCCGGCGCTCGTTCCGCCCCTCGCCCCTGGAGCCGAGCCGAGCTCCCCACGCTGTCCCCACGCTGCCGAATCCCCGGCGCGGGACACTCGGGCTCCGAGCCGGGACAGCGGCCCGGCTCTCCCCGCGATCCCGCTCCGGAGCCAGCTCCCTCTCATCTGGAGCCAGCCGCATGTCCACATCATCCACGCGCGGTCGAGGCTTGGCTGGATGATAACCCGGACTTTGCCCGGTCTTACTTCGTCAGGAAGGCAACCAGGTGAGTGTGCGGGCTCCTCGAATCGTTCCGACCTCGTTCGGCTTCGCACATTATAGAGAGCTGCTTGTGGTACTGCGTTGGCAGTGGTGCACGGGCACAAACAAACAACAACAATTGAATAACGCTGCCCGAAAAGAAAAGTACACTAAGCGACGTTTCGGGCAATGATCATTCTTCCTAGCGGACCGCTCAAAACAGCACGAACGCCGGCGCACCGCGCCCGTGTTCGTGTCGCGGGGTGGGCGCCTCTCGCGCACTGCATATATGGTAATAACACAAGTTCCTGCTCTCAGGAACTTTGTAAACAATGCTCGTGCGAAACCATACGGGCCATAGTTGTGTTCGCCACCGGGGAAGAAAGCGGCGTTACTGAGTGAGTCGAGGTGTAGGGTATGGTTTCTGGCATGGATGGAACACGCGGGTTTTCCGCGTGTGTGTAATCATGGGGGTGAAAAGTCGCGTCCTGCGCTCACAGAGACGCCCGTGCGAGTCGGCGATGGTGGATTCCGGAAGAGGGCACTTTCAGCTCAGGGCGAGAGGAGAGGGGGAGTAGCCCCGCATCCTCCCCGCGGTTTGCGTTTCGCCGCTATGAGTAGCAGCAGCCGCAGTCGCCCGTCGCAAGATAACTGCATAAGGCGAGCGGGGCCAGGTGTCGTCCACGGGACGATGAAAGCCCACGGTCACTCGCGGCGCCAGAGGGAGCCACGGGGCTCCACTGGAGCCGGTCAGCACGCACCCCACCGCCCAGGGCGATGCGCCACATGCTCTCGAGGCGGTCGGGGTTATGTGAGCCCACCCCCTGCCTACCACCGCCGGCGGTTGCGTGAAGACGCGGTGTGTTTGATGAGTGCTTCGCGGAATCTGGGTAACGGTGAGCGCGGCTGGCTTCGTTTTTCTATCGCACTCGCTGCGTGGATGCGTGCCCATGTTGCAGTACATCCGTGATTATTGTAGACACAAAGACACAGATCCCCCGTATAGCCTGGACGGACTGTTGGAGCAAGTGCTGTTAGCGAGCACCGATGAAGGCAAGCACGGTAGACGAGGGGGTGGGTGGGTGGCCAGTACCATGCCCGACCGCCTTTGTTTCCCCACTGGCGATGGTTATACACCTCACCAGTTACTAATTTGAGGCTGAGTCAACCTAGGGGAGGCCCGTGACCGGTTTAGATAATCGTCACTGGTGTTGGCCGTGAGCGGGAATCAAACCTCGGTCGCCAGGTTCGTTGTGCAACCCGCTAACAGATGCGCTGACCGCTGCACTCCCGCTCCCCACGAGCACAATCTCACAGCCATCATCATCACTGTCTTGTATGTATGCACGCATGTATGTTGAACTTCTTGTAATCGGAACGTGTATAGTCAGCGAACGTTTCGGTTGATCGCCCTTTTCAGCAATACGAATACACTCCCTTAATGCGTGTCGAATGTATTTTTTACGACTAATTATAAAAGCCGTATTTTAAATCAGTATCCTATCAATGAGTCATCGAATTAAATGTGTAATGTTTAGTCCATCCCTTAGTCAATGCACTGTTGGATTAAGGCCTTCCCCACGCTCTATCAGTCTTGCGGATTATTTGCCATACTTCACCACGCTGGTCAGTGCGGCTTGGTGAAGGGGCGGCGGGGAGGGTGCAGGACCGCTTTCAATGTCACTCGCCACTGATGTTAGCAGCCGTGCAAGCCGCCGCCGGGAATCGAACTGAGGTGGCCGAATTCATAGCGCAGTGCGCGGACCTCTGCGCAACCGCTCCCCACGTCATCTGGTATGTCTACACAATTAACAATTTCTGGAATTTTTTTGCGCGCAAAAAGCTCGCCCTTAAATGTTTCGGTGTATAAACATAGCCCACGTGCGGACCCTGTGTAGGCCATAGGTCTGTGAGCGTGACTTGGGGCAGTAGTGGCTGTGTGAGTAGTGTGCGTGTGGTCATTAATGAGGACCGTGCTGCTGACCTTATATAGCTGCGGACGCATTCATGCACATCACCCCTGCGTGCTGCTTGCTCGCAGCCTGGATCGCTGCAGATCGTATCTCATGTTCCTAGCAAAACGACGGCTTAGGTGGATGCAACACCAGGGAGAGAGAAAAAGTTTTGCTGGCTGGCTAGCTGGCTGGCTGTCACGTGCGGACGGACGAGCGAGCAGATGGGTCACGTCCTAAGATTCATACGGTCTGCCAGTATTGCATATGTATACAATTATATCTGTACATTACAACCAAGTCTTAATTTCTCACTCGATATGTTTTTTTTTCCGGAGCGCTGCTATGCTGGCTCGGAGTCGGGTTTATCACCGTAAGGCAGTACCACTCGAGTACAAGGTGCGCATGTACGATCATCCTGCACTATTGTTGTAGCCTATGCAGTCCTCCTAGCATTCTCCGAGGACAAATTAAGGAAGCGAGACGGGTGTGGCATGCTAAGTCCCGGGAGGACGTTTTGGGGTTGTCCTGGCTGAAAGAAAATTCCCTGATTCAAACTCAAAGGCCAATGAGACGCGTGTACTCAATGGCATTCCCCTATGTACGGAGGTGGCGATGCATGCCTGCACTTCACACCCTAGCAGGGTGCACACTCTACGAGCAACGATCGCGTAACAATCCACATCGGGTTTATACATTCTCAAGCACATCGAAATAACGATGGAAATTCGGCAGCTTGTGTTGTTGTTGTTGACATCAAATCTGCCATGTACTTGTCAATGAAAGACAACGCGGCTTGTTGGCAAACCCTTCGTTAGAAGTGGGTGGCGTGGCCGTGCCGTGGCTCAGCGTGACCCCTCCCTCTCTTTGTCCGCCACCGATTGTCGAGGCTCAGCATATTTGCAAGACCTTTATGACCCCCAAGCAATTAACGCTCATTACTGCACTTACACGGAGCTAACGGCGCTCGGTCTACGTCGTGCAGTTCGGTGGACATTGCCGTCAGCGCGATTTTGACGTTGGAGAGAGACAGAGAGAGAGAGCACTGACATGACTCGCTGGACGTGTGGAAATACTGTGCGTGGAAGAAGTGTAACCCCGTGTCTCTGGCACATGTGAGAAACGACAAGAGGGTCTTAAAGGTCTCAGGTCGCTCTCAATTCAGTCGCCAAACAAGGCTTGACACACAGCTTCAAATAAATCAGGAGGGGGGTAATGTTGTTACAATATGTTCTGATTAGCATCGAGGGTTAGGATGCATTCGTCATTGAAGTTCATCACAAATGGACAATCGTAATCGAGTGACACTGATTCCATTTATTTTCGACAAAGGCTAGAAATCCGACATTTGGTATAAATATGCACACACACCGTACACATAGAGTCGACTAAATGCGATTTTAGTCAACGTTTTTAATTAGGGCCCCTCTAAATTGCAGCCTGAAGATTGAGATCAGCGTAATGTTCTCAATGTCCGTAAGCCGTCGTCTTAACGCCTCGATATATACTGATGAGGGCTTCGCCGGATCATCAGTGAAGCAATGAATTGGCATCCGAAGAGTGTGACGCTAAAGCCGATAGAAAGATGGGCACAGTCCACTTCGAGTAAGGGGTCGTCCATAAATGACGTCACGCACTTAGGGGGGGGGGGGTCAGACATTTGTGACGATGTGTGACGAGGGGCGGGGGGTTTGAGAAATGTGACGTCACATCAAAATGCGCAATTTTAAATAAATATAGACAACACGTTCTACTTAATTAAATATATTTTTTTAATAAATGTTTTTTTCCTACAACATCAGTCTGCATCGCCACGTTAAATACGCACTACAATGATAATAGTTTAAAGCGATTTGAAGCGTGTTTTATTTTCAAAATGGAAATATGGTTGGGGGGGGGGCAGAGCTTTGTGACGTCATATTTGAGGGGTGGGGGGGAGGTCTGACTTTTTGTCAGACCAAAATCGCGTGACGTCATTTATGGACGGCCCCTAACTACAACAGCTGATCACAAGTCACGTGGGACATTAAGACGTGGACTCGAGTAAGCCTTGGGCCACTGAAGTGCCTGGCGGAATTAAAGAGAGACTATTATCATCAGACATGTTCAATCTACTGCTGGATGAAGGCCTCCCCAAGCAGCCGCCACATCTCACGATGCAGCAATCCACCCGGCACCTGAACATGAACCGATGTCATCGCTCCATCTCCTCGACTGGCGGTCTCGCTCGCAGACGCATTCCATTCCTTGGCTGTCCATGCGTCATTTTTTTCTCGACCGTCTTCCCCTCCGAGCGACGCGTCCTTCCCAACCCCACTGAGTTTGCCTAACCGTGGCATCGGTTGGGATGGTGGGGGAGAACGTGGGAATGCTAGGAATCACCGGGCACGAACGGGACAACGCCTTCTGGATGTGACCAATGAGATCAAGAGAGAGAGAGAGATGATGCGCTACATCGCGGCGTGACGTTCGCGTCCCGTAAAGAGTCTCGGGAAATCGGTGCACGGGGCTGATGCGATAGTGGACGCACGCAGGGATCGGATCAAGCCAAGTCAAGACACGTGGAGGCGAGCATGACGAGATGGCCTCTGGCGGCGTGGGCTCTCCAGATAAATGTTCGCCTCCGTTGCGGCACATTGTACTAAGGGGCTCTTCTGTACATCCTCGGTGTGCACGGGTGGGAGCTGGTGTGTGTGTGTGTGAGAGAGAGCATGTCCACTTGTGTGTGTGGTGCCGTAGTGTAGGGGTGAGCGCGCTTCGCTACGAAGCCGGCCACCCGGGTTTAATTCCCGCTCACGGCTAACACCAGCGACAATTATCTGAACCGGTCCTGGGCCTCTCCCCTAGGTCGACTCAGCCTCAAATTAGTACCTGGTGGGGTGTGTTAACATCGCCACTTGGGAGACAAAGGCGGTCAGGAGTGGTGCTGGCCACCTGCCCCCTCGTATGCCGTGCCGGCCTTTATAGGTGCTGCTTGCTAACAGCACTTCCCCCAAAAGTCTGTTTAGGCTATACAGGGGGTCTTTATATTTGTATATGTGCAATCACAAATCACCTTTTAATTCCATAAAAA